ACTGTGACCATAGCAGAATTTATATTTACCATTATATGTATTCTATAAGAAACAGGATTATTTTATAGCTTTTAAACTGTTTTATCCATAAAGCCTTTGAATATATATTATTTGGGTCTCACTTATTCATAATATAATTATTTCTGAAAAAAATTACTTTTGGATCACCTATGGAAAAAAAGATTTGAAAAGTAAAGGAATATTACATTTAACAAAAAAATTACCAAAACTTAAGAACAGCTTTCTTAGTCTCTACTGAATTAAATAGGCTGCAAGCCTTCTCTAGCCATGTTAAGAGCCAAGAACAGGATCTTTATTTGTATTTTAACTTTATTGGTCTCCAACTTTTAAAAATATTTACTTCTTCATCTTTAATAGCTCAATGATACAGGAGGGACAGGATTACTATGCTCTGTCCATTTTGCAGATGAGAGAAGTGACCTGGAGCAGTGAAGTGACTTACTTAAAGTCACAATGTCAATAAATAGCTAATCCAGGATTAGAACTCATGATTTGTTATCTGTTTTTCAAATCACAGTGATCCAATGATCACACTAACTTGGAAATGTTATTTCCAGTTATAAATATATTGTATGATCATAAATGCCATGACAACTGACATTTGGCCTGTGCTTTCTTTTTAGCCTGCACCCCAGTACGATGCATGGAAGACCTTGAGAAAGACAGCACAAAACTGCACTTGACAAACTTTACTGCAGCGTACAAAAGACATCCCCCTCTGTCACCAGATGGCAAAACTCTTTGTCATAGCACGTCTTCCCCTTTGCCGGGAGATATAAAGGCTTTATCAGAGAAAGCAATTCTCCAATCATGGACAGATAACAAGCAACCCATTCCTCATGATGGTACAAACTTTCAGGAACACAACTCTTTTGGCAGAAATTCTCTGGAAGATAATTCTTGGGTATTCCCAAGCCCTCCTAAATCGAATGACACAGCATTTGGGGAAACTAAAAATAAAACTTTGCTTTTACCTAACCTGCCACCACTGCATTACTTGGATCAACATAATCAAAACTGCCTTTATAAGAATTAATTCCGAAGAGATTCATGATGTGGTCATGAGGTTGCTGTATCTCCCACTGTTCTCTTGAGAAATTATTTAAAGTGTTTTAATTAAACTTTTGCAGAGTTCTTCAGTATACACGTTTGCACATACTGTACCACATTATGTAGTTGATTTTTCCAATATGAGAGCAACCCTCGAGCTTCATAGTCTGGCTAAGAATCAGATATATGCTACTAATAAATAAATGAACTTAAGGTGTTTGAAAAAGACAATTCTACCTTTGATAATAATGGTAAATTTCTGCCTCACATAAAGAATGGTATTGAAAGTTTTTACACATGGTTTTACAAAATGTGTGAAATGTCTAAATAGTGATTAAAAATAGAGGCCATTAATATCAGAGAAAAATCGTATAAGTTACCTTAAGTTACATAAAGGAGCAAATGCAGTGTGAATAGGTTATATTTCTATTGACCTTTTAGTGCATAAAGATATGAAAAATAGTGGAATAATAGTATGTAGGTTATTCCATCTCTCTACGCCATTGTTTCAAAGTTTAAGATTTAAAATCATTTTTTTAATCACAGTGTTGATAAAACTTAGAATTGCAATTTGAATTTTAAGACTTGAAGTAACCTGATCATTGACGCCAACTTTGTCGTGTTACATCCCTCAAGTCCTAATGGAAAAGTGACGAAATAGTTGAAAATCTACATGGTATATGAATAAACTATTAAAATCTTACATCATCCAAGTAGAAGTAGAAAGAGCATCATAATGGTTTCAGTCTAATCTGTCCCTTCAGTGGTCCATAATGAAAATCTAAATGTGTGTGAAACTGTATAAAAGTCATTTTCTTCAAAGAGTCTACACCTTGTTATATAAAGCAGCTTATAAATTGTTAAACTTTGTTTTGAAATACAACATTTTACTCAGAGTGATTTCTAATTAGTTTAATTGGGAATTTTAATTCTAGAAACCAAATTCTGTGCTGTATTGATATAGTACAATCATGAAATGTCCCCAAACTCTTTGATTCTAAGTAGCCTTTCATTTGTAAACAAGTAAATAACAAGGATAGTGTCACATGGAAACTTACCTAAATTCTCCAAGGTTGCAGTATTAAAAATATTAGTAATGTATTAATTCTTACATGTTTTGCCTGAGATAGTGTTTCATGGAAGAGGACTTTATCCTTTTTGATAGACAGTTTCAAATACCTTGAACTCAAAGGAATATCTCAAATCTCTTCTATATTAACTGAATAGCATACATACATAAACAATGTTCTTCGTTCACCAGATATTTTTGTCTTTCTATTATCTTACTCACTTATTCAAGCTTGTCTGTGATTAATGGAATTGGTGTCAGATGCTGGAATTTATTCTGACCAATGAACATGGCAGACTCAGGGGAGCAGAATCTCCTGCCAAGTAACAGAACACAATATGCATAAAACAAACACAAGACTCCAGGCTTCAGCTGAGGGAAGCAACTACCTGTGTAATATCAAAGCAGTAGAAACTATTTCTCATGTGGCTGCAGAGGTTGTATATTATGTCTAATCTCTAACGTAGCTTAATGGTTTGCCTTTTAAAACGAAGATTTGAAATTTTACTTTGTAAAGAAAAGTTGTGTGGGATAATGTCTTGATTAATGTTTTGAACAATGCCAAGAAATCGTTTAATTAAATTATTTTTGTTTGAAATTGAAGTGGATGTGAAATTTTGTCCTTGCCTATATATTCCAAGGTCAGGTACTAATTGTTAGTTGCTAATTTGATTCATATGACATATATTTGTCTTTTCTTTTAGTATATGTGCTGCCGAAGCGAGCACTGGCATTTGTCTTGTTAAACCACCTTTTTTGAGCGGAGAAAATGCTTTTCCATCTAAACCATAAGGTAGCTATCAAACAGATATGCTCCAAAGTCAGTGGTTGATAGTCTTTGTGATTTAAAGTACTAATTAAATGATGTGTAAGGCTCTAAAAAAGATATTAACCAAAATTTGTTTTTACCCAGCTGTAATTTTTTAAATGTACAGTTTGTGATCATCTCTGTTCTGGTTAGATTCAAAGAGAAATGAGAGAATGCCCCATCTCTGTAGCTTATATACTTGCTTCAAAGGGCTTCTCTTGAAACTTCCTTTAATCTTTAGATTTTTATGATAATCCAATTCAGCACAGTAACTCAAAAAAATGAAGAGAACATAGCTAACAACAAAAAGGCCACCTATTCCTTCCTCTTGATCCTCTATTAGCTAAAATAAAATTTACATCTCTCAAAGGAAACAGGTCCTACCAAAATGGAACCTAATTCATAAGTAGAACAGGAACATCAAACATTAGAAAATCAAAATAGAGGGAAATTCAGACTTAGAGAATTAAAGGACTGAATTATGTGAAAATAAAGTAATGATCTTATCCAGAAAGGCTACTTGGAGAAGATAGATCTTACAAGGTAGAAAATCTTTGGGTTGTTACTTAACAAAATAATATCAGCAGAGGCACAAATGAGCAAGCAAGACAACAACTGAGGCAGATGAACCAGTTGGAAAAGCAGACTTGAGTGGAAAGGCAAGGATATCCTGAAAGCTATGATGAATAGTTTGTTTTTGACGTAATAGAGATGAACTTACTTACAATATATAACTTATCTAGCACCTATAGGGAAAGTGACATCTACATAAATTTTCCACATAAAATTGAAGTTAGCCCCTCTCATTCTAATCAAAATTATAAAATAACTTTAGATTGTATATTTCAGTAGCTTTTAAAGTAAATGGTTTGCCTTTTCATTTGAGTTATCATAAATAAAAATTAAGGTCCTGTGCTCTAGGAAATCCACAAATACCAGAAGGCCAACAGAGGGATATAGGCTTGTTTACCACTATGCAATGTGGCCTTTAGGTTTCTATACTTGCTTTGCTTTGTCTGCTCTAGTAATTTCCCTTGCTTTCATCTGTGGCCTGGGAAAAGGTAGTTTCTTTGAGTTTCAAATAAGAGTAAAGTAGTTCTTCTGAGTGGCTCACTCCAGAACACTGTGGAACCTGAACATGCCATTGGTTCTTAGGGTCCTATTTGCTACTTGTGTTAACTGAGTCCTTTAAAAACGTCTCTCAGATCTATTTCATGGGACTAGGGACAAAGTTAAATCTTGTCCTAGTGGGCAGTAATTTCTATTTGTGCTTTTAATGAGAACTATGTAAACAAAATTTACTTACCTAGAAACCAGTTGCAATGGCTGTAGAAGAAGAGTTAATAGCTCATGGGGGAAAAAAAAAACAACTTTTAATATAAAAGCTCAACCTGGGACCAAATTATTGCATTGGAACAGAATTTTTTTACATTAGCTCCTGAATTACTATGTTACAGAATAGTTATTCATGCTTATAAAGAAGACTTTTTAAAAAAGATTATTTTCAGTAGCCAAATCAATGGGAAAAGGAACTTATGTAATAACACACTTTAAGAAATTTTTCATCTAAGATGTTAAGTAAAATTAATTCATTTTTAAGTACTTATCTACAATCTGTATTTCCAAATAAGCCTTTAGTACTAATAATAACAATAACGATTAAAAAGCATTTACCATGTCCGAGGCATTGTCCTACATACTCTACTCATAATACTCAGTTAATCCTCACAATAACAGTATGAGATTTATTTCCAGTTGCATAGCTAGCAAGTGGAGAACCAGGAACAATTCTGGTTCATAACCATTCTGCTGTACTGCCTAGTCATTAATACCTTTGAAATAAATGAATGTTTTCCTTTAGGTACTTCTGGCCCCCACGATTAGCCATTAGTCTACACACTGAGAGACAGTATTGTAAGATCTATATGGAACACTTAAAAATCAGTGTCACTATTATAGAACTACGGTTATGGGAAAATGTATGAAAAATCCATTAATGACCAGGCAAACCATATCCCATTTCACTATTTACTACTATCCCATTAAATAAACTTTGTTTTTTTAAAAATCTTTATTTCAGATAAAATTAGTATTTCCATAATTTAGGATAAAGCAAACAAACTTCTTTGAGTCCATTATTTTAGGTAACTGTGATTTCCATGAAAAGAGTTACTGAGTATCATTTGAATATTTGCCTACATGCTTGTTGGAAGCTTCTGTAGCCTTTTCTTGGTAGGAATTCCAGTTTTTCTGAATTCTTCCCTTTCCTTCAGGTATTCCATTTTGCATTCTTCATAAAAGGTGGGATCATTATAGCTACAAGAAAGAAAGAAAAAACAACTAAGGTGAATCACCTTGCAAATGTCTAACATAAGCTTACTTTAATAACATTTAAACATCCAGTTCATCTGGCACATAAATTCATTGTAAACATTAGACTACCCAACTAGCTAAAGAAAAGGAAAAAAAATAAAAAGATCTACTGGTTCTCTTTTGAATAGCACCATCCTAGGAGAGAGCAATGAGAAGCAAACCCTCAAAGAGCCCATGGTGTTACAGAACAGACAGGTAAAGACTGCATTACCATTAAGCATACAAAGTGCTGTGGTAGAGGCAGGGCCCGGTGCACCATGGAAACATGGGGAGGAAGTGGGAGAGATGGGGAGATGTCAAGGGCAAATGCTTGAGCTGCATTTTGAAGAACCAACAGAATCCCTACAGGAGGCACATGTGCAGAGGTTACATAAATGAGGAAAAACTGATACATGAAGAACTGCAAGTAAGTTGGTACCACCATAGCAGATTATGCACATAGGAGAAAGGGCCCAAGATGAAGCTGGAATGGCAAGAACCAAATCATGCCATACTAAGAAGTTAAAAGCTATCCTGAAGACAATGGGCACTGTTAGCAGAGCAACTGTATGATCGCTGTCTTAGATGAAAAGGACAGCATATGGTAGATAGGCTAAAAGCAGGCAGCAAGGTTAGAGGCAGGATTTCCAATAAATAAACTATTATAACAATCCAGAAAAGAAATGATGAGGGCCTAGACCAACGGAGGAGCCATTATAATGAAAAGGAGGAAATGAATCTGTGGAAGATCTAAGAAAGAAAATCAAAAGGAAATAATCACTTAGAGTTAGGAGACAAGGAAAGTTCTAGAAGTAACTGAATCCATGGGGGCAACCTAAACTTTCTCAGACTTCGGAATGAGAAGGGAACCAGTGAACCAATTTTAAGGAATAGGTTAAGGAAGAAAAGGCTGAGAAGTAGTACGCAGACGTCGGGAAAATAGGAAAGCATTATAAGGGAAGCCAGATAGAAGAGAATTTTAAGAGATTTCCAGAGTCAAAGTAAAAGAAGGGACTGAAAATGTATTCAATATGGCTACCATGAACCCATTAGAACCTGCAGGAAGAGCAGTTTCAGCGGAGTAAGGATAGAAGGCAGACTGCAGTTTATTGAATGAATGAAGATCAGACAGCTAGAAACAAAAGAGCACAAACCATTAATGTTTCAAGATGTCACTATGAAGAAATGAGAGGACATGGTTGTTACGTTCATTTTACAGAATGTCCACAGCAAAAAATAAGAGCACTTTCTTATTCAAAGATGAAAATATACTATTTCTTAATACTTAAGGTCAAATAAAATCCTTCCTTCCTAACTCTCCATTTACTTTCAGCAAGTATCACATCCCTCTTTGCTTCACTGCTTGTCTCTCCTCCAAACAGAAGTAGCCTCCTCACACCCTTCCCAGACCCTCCCACAGAATGGACTAGAATCTGTTATTGTTCTCTAATTTCTAGGAGTGAGAGATGGAAGGCTATTCAAATGATTAATACTTAGATAACAAAAGCTAACAAATAACAAATACAATCAAAAAAAGAGCTAACATTTATTGAGTAGCTACTATGTGCCAGCACTGTGGTAAGGTGTTTACATATAGTACCTCACAATCACTCCATTAGGAATAATTATCCCATATTATAGAAAGTAACCTGCCCAAGGTCACGTGACTAGCTACACCCCAGCTCACCCAGATAAAGCCTACGCCGCCCTTTCCACAGTCCTTGCTACTGTCAGCTCCGCTCTAAGTGCAGCCCTATCTAGAAGGAGGGAGATGTCAAACTAAGAATAACAAGTTACGATGATGACTAAAACTGAGGTGTAAAAATTCTGAACATAAAAACAACAACATCAATATATAAAAGAGATATTAAAAAATAGTAAGCCACAGAATGAACTCCTCCTCCTTTAAAGTAAAACGCTTAGTGCAGGTTCCAGCCCATAAATAAGAGCTGCTATCAGAATTACTTTTATTTATTATTAACTCGAGACAAAAAAATGTGGACCTAGAATGTTTTTTTATCTCCTTCTTCATGTAGAAATTAATCTCTCAAGTCTTCCAACCACAGCATTCTAAAATAAAGTCTATACATTTATGTGTACATTGTTATCAAAAAAGAACACAAATATAAGATTCAGATAATCACTACTTTTTATCTAATTTCCTAAGAAGTATCAAATCATATTGACATATATGCTTCACAGGCTAGAGGAGCAGAGTATACAATAAGGGCTTACCAAAACACTAAGATCTCAGTTACAACTATCAACTAATACGAAAGTATTCTTCAATACTGTCTGACAATAACTGGGTAATAAAACATATGGGGTGATTCAACAGAAAGCTCAAAGAACTTTGCAAGAAAGATTCAAGAAACTAAAACAAAATATCAGAAATATGTTATTTATGAATTATTTTAAAAAGTAATTTAATTAACTTTAAAAATCTAAATTTACCTGTGTCTTTCCTTTGATTTATTAGAACTTACCTAGGAGTTACCGTATATTAATTTTTTAAAAAATCATAAGACTGGCAAAGGTCTAATTAGAGATAATCTAATTCAGTACATTTTCATTAGGAGATATAAATATAAACCTACCTATAATATATCCTATAGATAAACCTGTTCATGAAAAGGAACTGGTTAAATCATAGGAAAAATCAAATATTTTTGTTTGCTGACCTCATCTTATTAATCAGATACAATGCTGACTGACCCACATAACTTGAAAAGACCCTTCATAAGGATGTTGCTTTTTGGGGGGAATAATCTTTAACTGAAATTTTAGCCCTGGCCAACAATATGATGGATTTGGTGGGAGAAATACAGAATATATTACATTGAATGAGTTAAATAACATGCTCTTACCTACCAGATATTATACACATGCACACAGAGGAGAAGGTAGCTACTTACTAAGCTGTTAGACATTCTTTCAATGCAGAATTTTCTTTCCGGCATTTTACTACCATAAGGATTCCAGAATCCTTGCAACATTTGGTAAAATCTGAAATAAAAAAATTGGAAAGAAAAAAAATGACTTGTAATTACATCAATTCAATTTCTGATAGCTCTAAAATATTCATTCATTTCATATTTATTAACCGAGACTGTGCTTGGCACATAGCATATGCTCCACCAAAGACATGCACACAAATAAAAGGCAGAACAAGTGTTATTTACTTTGTAGAAATAATGAGATTTGAAAGGAGATAGGACCTGTGACACAGAGTGAGCAGGCTTCATGGAGACATGTGGTATGTAGAGAATAAATAGAATTTCTAACAGAGAAAAAAGTATATTCCATAAGAAATGAGTAAGAAGAAGAAAAGGGGAGCTTTTTCCAGACATGGTCATGTAGTGTCCGGGCTGCGTGCCTCCTGATGGCATCAAGGCACCCCCTTCTTTAAGACGACCTTGCCGTGGTGCCCTAATTTCTGGTAACAGGCTCCCATTCCATTCTCAAGTCAACTCTTAGATGCTCTAGAAAAGTCAAAAGGCTTTCTGTCAAATTTCCATTCTGGTAGTTTGCCTTTCAAACTGGCCTCTTTGGTATCTACCTTCCCTGGACTACAATCCAGAAAAGCCTGGCGCTATAATCCACCCACAGCTGGGCCACTTACTAATGTATTTCATGTTTGTTTTGCGTCACACTCAGTCCTCCCTTATCCTTTGCACAGGACAGTGTGTGCTTTGCTTCCTACCTGTTACAGCTACTCTCCTGAACTAAACTGGTCCTTTCCTGACCACTGGCTGCTCTAGTTCCAGGCTTTACCAGCTCTAACCTTCTGTAAGTAATCAACCATTTCAGTATTAGATCTTAAATTATGATATCATCCTCACAAAGAAGCGGTAGGCAAAAAAAAAAAAAAAAAGTTTCCTGAATATCTTCTATAACTCTTTTAATACAAAATTATAAAGACTTCCTTCTTTTCTTGAGCTATGTGTTACCTCTAGTTCCTAAGGAATATAGCTTATAACTATTTTAAAGAAACTGGATAATTTCAGGAGTCTCCATGAAGACACATACTTATAATATGTAACAAAAATATATTTAAACTATAAGCAAACTGGTAATGATTGAGATTTGTTAAAATGTATAAAAGACTCAGAGGGGCTTTGCTAGGACGAGGACCCTATAGCATAGATATCTATATCTACCTGTAGCATCATAGCATACTTTGAAGGATAAGTGGTAGAACATGGACAAGGACAAGAGATGTAGGAAATGACTTTAAATCAAATAATTTGATGTGTGTGATCACATTAAGTTACAGGTGATATGTAATACTCCACTCCAAAGACACACAGGATTAGCTTCCTTCAGCTCCTTGTTCACTGCTTTCAGCAGTTCCACCATTTGCTCTCTGATTCCCGAGAGCAACTACAAATGTTCTTATTCCTCTCTGTGCAGATGAGCTGGACAAATGGGCCAAATCAGACCAAGGTAATTTCTTTGGTGTGCTTTGATGAAGGACTCCCTACAACTCAAAAAGACAAAGCAGACTTAATGATCATCTCATTATCAATAGAGATCATAAGGGGAGGCCACAGGGCCACCAAAAACTTTCTCTCTAGAATGTCAGTACCATTCCGACATGTTAATTTTTCTGCTTATAGCATGATATTAAAATCTACCATTCTAGCAGCAAGGATCATGACCCCAAATAAAAATGAAAACATCAGCAATACTCAAAGAGGACACGTACAGAAAGTTAATCGAGAAGTGACTAAACCTGGCTAAGGGTTTCTTTAAGGGAAATGCCATACAGTAGTGGTGACAACCATGGCCTGACTCCCCTGAGCCACCTTGTCCCTACTGTGACTTCACAGACCTAATCAGGCCAGCCCACTCGGATAATGTCTAGATCATTAACTTCACTAATTTGCCTAACGAAGTATGCTAGTGGACCAAACCCAGTCCTTCTCTGGAAAACATGAACACAATGGCTATTATCCGAAGTCCACTTTCTGATTTAACAAACCCAATACTTTTACAACTTGAAAAATTCACAGTAGCATGCTTAGGCATTGCATTATTTTAAGATTTGCCTTGCCTACTATAAACAGACTGATGCGAGGTGCCATTTATGTGTTCTGATGACAATAAAGACAGTCTATATGTTTTCACACTTGTCCAAATCTCTTCAGGAATAACTGTGACTGGCCTGAAGCCTCAAGCTGTTTGTAAGGTTTTGTCACTTGTTTAACAACAAGATTTTAATGAGGATCTTTCTTTCATACCACATTAGCATACATTCATATAATAATTATGCTAATACTGCCAACTTATTTCTAAAGTGGTACTGTCAAATGAATTCAATTTAAATCGCGTCTTTCAACATTATGTAAATGTTAAAGAGCTTATATACCTGTAAATACATAATTTAATTTTAATTACTATTAAAGATTATGAAAGTAAAATTTTATTGACTTACGTATATCTTAAGGTAATGTAAATTAGTAGTAATAAACGGTGAGAGTAGAGAGATTATTAGTTATTCCAAAATTTACAGAAATATGCTTAAAGATAGCATTCAAAACTTTTTCTTTAAAATATCCAGGACATGAGAGTCTATTGTTTTGTAAACTGTCATTTTTCTGAAAGAAGCCACTTAATACCATATAATAAACTACTGGTAAAAATATTCTTTATGTATAATAAAACTTGTATCAAATACATCTAGGAAAAACATCTACGAGATGCAGTTTTCTCTTAATTTTAGTCTAATTTAGATAATGGACAAAATAATCATATTTTAATTAAGTACGAGTATTCTATATAATTTCCAGTTTATATAAGAAAAACATGTTTGGGGAGCTCTGTATAAAATCAGTAAGAGAAATAAATGGTTTGGAATTGTTTTTAACTCATTTAACTTATAGAACTTTTGAATATATTTTAATATTTAAATAACACCCAATAATAAGGTTTCTTAATTAAACCAAGGATAAGTATTCATGGTACAACTATGCATGGAAATGGATATACTGGGAACTTACTCTTTTACACCTTTCATTTACTCAGTTTCAAGTAACATGTTATTTTGCAAATGCAGTCATCCAGTTAGAACTACAGCATTCAATGAGAGATGACACTTTAAAAACATACCAAATTAAAAGAAATAATCCCCAATGTTTCATGTCTCTGACTAGAACCACTCCATTTCTAGATCTACTAATTTATATATTCTTAAAAAAAAATCTGAAGCTTATAAACTTTTACATAACCACCTTTAGACACAGCCTTTATTTCTAACTTTCAGTACTTTCATTTCTTTAATCAGTAAAGTGTTTACAAAGTACCTATTTTTCCAGCATTACAAAAAGCACAGCTACATTTGGATACCAATATAATTTACAATTTTAACATATAAACTATGTGTAATATTCCTGTGACTACACCACCATCTTACTGGTTTCCACTTTAAATCTAGAATTTTGATTTAATTTAAATGAAAAACAGTTCAGTAGTTGTGCTTATTAATGACATATAGTAGGGCAGATTTTAAAATCACCCTAATATATATATCACCAAGTCTACAACTGGAAATCTTGAGCATTAAACTGCTTTTATAGAACTGGATAAGAATAACAGAGAAGTATTATAAACAATGTATAAAAGATCTTTTGACAAATTATTAAACCATAAGATTTTAAAAATATGAAACTGAAAATGCTACAATTTGGGGAGGGTCTAGGCAGGTGCCAACTTTGTAAGCTTTTTCTCAGACAAAGATGTCTGCAGTTTTAAAACAGTAACATAAATTTAAGCCCAAAACTAATTTTTCTCAAGAAAAGCTATCTTTTAAGTGAAGAGTTCTGTAGTGAACAATCTGTCAGGTCCCTGTGGACAATGCCTAAGTGCTGTGCTGCTCTCAGTAATCATCATCCCGTCTGAAAGCTGTGAAGGAAAAAGTGCCTGAAGACAACAGGAGGTCACCCTCCGTTCTGAGCTCACCAGCTTCAAATGCAGTGATGAACGCCTGAACCAAGGCAGAGACAATGATGATAGCAGTTTGTCCTCCTCCTTCTACTGACTGCCCAGCTGAAGGAAAGCAAGGCCACAAGGCCACGAAGCACATTTTTCGGTATAAATAACAGCATGAACAGTATTTCATGAAGTTCTTGTGAAAGATTTTGTAAACTGTTCTGACTCCATGTACATTCGTTTATAAAATTTAGTAATGAAACTGTAGATCTCCCTGTAGGCTTTGATAGCAGTAGTTTGACTTCTGGAAATAATTAAATCCAATCCAACCCAGAGATAAAGCCAAATATTATAGACTTCCAGACTGGATGAGAAGCTAATTAAGACAGCTAATAAGTTCAGTTTAGTTGAAAAAAGTGTATCTGAGTATTTGCCAGCAAACATTCTAACAACAACAGAATTCTAGGCAAATTTTCAAGGGATCTGCAAAATTAACCATTCAAATGGGGGGTAGTGGGGGGAGGATGGCGGGGGAACAACATGCAAAAACTATAACACCTTTTACAAGATACAAATATTGAAACAGTGGCTTCTTCACTGCACTCACACCTTAAAAATGTTTCCATTTCCAAAAGTGAATCTAAAATACTGTAGATGAGAAATTGCCAAATACTGTCACCTTAATGTTTAAGAAGAGCTTCAACTGCAAATATTTCATTTTTTTCATAAATTACCAAAGTAGATAGAAAAAGAAAAAGATCACTTACATTCCTGCCTTCACAGTAGTAACAACAATAATAACAGCTAACACTTGCTGTATTTACTATGTACCAGGCACTGTCCAATGAGTTAATTCAGGCATCACAGGTATTAACTGATTCAATAAATTAAAATTTTAATTTTTTATATATTCTTTCAGTACTTATACACAAGCTCATAAAATAACATTCATTCATTCAACAAACATTTAAAAAGTATTTACTATGTGCCCAGCAATGTGCAAAGTTCTGAGGTCTCCATGCTGAACAAGACAGAGAGGGTTTCTGCTCTGGGGGAGCTAACAACAATCTCTGAGG